TCTCCGCGACCGGAGCAACCGGCTAAGCGAAGGGCGACGACGAACAAGGCTCGGAAAGAAAGGGGGAGGGGGCGATGGAAATGGATGCATACCGGTCGTTCGTTATAAGAAACATTTTTGAAAGGGGAAAGCTAAAAAAATTGTGAATACCTGAAGTAAGGTTGGCTACAGCATAGAACTAATGAAATACGCCTCAATGATAGGAGTACCAATAGGAGGACACTGTAAAGCTAAGGTAAGCTAATACCACAAAACACAATAAAAGACACGTATCGCGGAAAGCGTTAGAGATGGAGTCAAAATATTAAAACTGATAGGCATTAGGAAATACACAAAGAGAGACACTTAGGTCGCTTCGCATTGTGGGTGAGGCCTTCAGTTTGACCTTTGCATGTTTTGTAGATGCGCTGCAGTTTCTACACAAATTTCTCGTAGCGCTTCTGCACAGCCACGGCCGCTAACGAGAGTCATGAGCAACCGACACATGCTCCGGAGACGGAGTGATTGGTCCTGCGTTTGAGGTTCGGTCTCAAAGCAAAAAACTGAAAGGAAGGAAATTTGCGAATAGGTATTGAACTTCGTTCCCAGAAAATTCATAATCATGAAAAAACTATTTCAAAAAGAAACTGTACGTAAATTTATTTTAAGATCTTAAAGTGATAAATAGATTCCGTTATAAAAATAATCTCTAATTTTATAAAATATATGAAAGGTGTTGATTACATTACCTTTTGCCATTTTCGAAATTTCAGAGATTTTACCGAACATTGGACCTGCACCACTTGCATAAGCGTACTTTGTTCTTTTTGAACAAAACATTAGTCAGGAGAGCGGTCTCTTCAAACGGGGAATATCTATTTGGAAGAAAATCCAGCGAACTTTATAAGCGTGTTGTCCACAAACAGAAGGACGGGTGGACAGAGAGTTGGACAAATACTTTTTCGAGATGAAGGATCACCAAAAAATGAATATCGGTCAAAATCTCAACATCGATTCTATGCAGCATTACATTACTTTTTTAAAATATTACGTATACGAGAGAGTAAAAGTTACGGTTATGACGATTTGTATCATCTGCTTTCAACGGAAAACTCCAACAGAATAAGCAGAAAACCGAAGAGGTTTTTTTTTTATTTTTAACTGACCGACTAGCAAAAAGCAGACTCTAAATAATAACCCATCGACATTGTAATACGAGTTAAAGGGAATAAAATTTTATGTCAGCTTTCCTGATCCCTTCTAAAAACGTTCGAAAATAAGTGATTTTTTTAAAAGTTAATTTTAAAAGGACGCATGAGACTCAGATAGTTAAGAGTATCTACAACACACAAACGAAATGAGAATTGCATTTGGCACCTTATCCTAAAGATCAGATTTAAAGCGTGTGATTCCTTCAATTCAACAGTCCTTTAGCAGGAAGCATTGGGCTCAAATGTGTTCTCATATTTAAATTTCACCTATCATGTATAATGAAATACATAGTAGCACTATCGCCGAAGTTATGTAACTGGAAAACACATAGCTCTTTATGCAAATCAATTAAATATTTATATAATACGAGATAAATCACGAGTTGTAAGAAATATATGGCAAATTACACTAATTTTTTTTCTCTCAACATCGCTTTTGAAATACAAAAGTCGTAAAATTTCTAATGTGTTTCTTACTGAACTCGCGACGATGAAAAATCGACGTTCATATCCATAGATTTGTCTGAAAGCAAACAAACATTGCAAATCTCAAACTAAATATAAGTTAAATATATATGATTGCACTGATTACTTGTATTCTCTATTACCAATTACCTTCAACATATCCATATGGTACAATATAAGTAAAGATGCATCCACACAAGGAAACTTGAGGTATTACATAATTTCTCACACTATTTGTAACTTTTAACTTTTTCGAAAATTCAGAGAATTTACTGAAAGTCAGACCTGCGCCAGTTCTACATCAAAAGAGTGCTGTTTTTGAAAAACTCTTCTTTTAAAATTGGTGTTATTGTCCGTAAAATTACGTGAAATCTGAAGGATAGATTTTATTAAAAAATCTCTCTCTTCAATATTTTAGATGTAGAAGGCACCGACGTTTATACATATTTACACATATTTAATTGGAGAATAGTTAGTACCCATTACATTCGAGGCAATAAAAAAACACGAGAAAATAAAACAAGGAAAATAGAAGTGGCGTTAAATTAATCACAGCAGTTGAAATTTAACGTTTTCAGAGGCAAGGCGTTGACCCCCTTCTGCTTACTCTACCAAGAAAACCATCTGACCCTGAGATATACATACGAGATATACAACTTTCCTTGCCATACATCTCCCATGTTTTCCGAGTTCGGTCGGGAATGGTTGAGGTGGTGACAGCGTGACGTCATTCATTGAGCGGGCGGCGGGCGGGCGGGCGGGCGGGCGGGGCGGCGGCCGGGCGGGCAGGCAGGCGGTGGCGGGCGGGCAGGCAGGCGCGGGCGGGCGGGCATGGGCGGGCGGCGGGCGGGGCGGCAGGCGGCGGGCAGGGCGGGCGGGCCGGGCTAGGGGGGGCAGGCGCAGGCGGGCGGGCGGACGGGCGGGCGGACGGGCGGGCGGACGGGCGGGCGACGGGCGGGGCGGACGGGCGGCGCGGACGGTGCCAAGGCGGACGGCAGGCGGACGGGCAGGCGGACGGGCAGGCGGACGGGCACGGCGGACGGGCATGGGACGGGCGGGCGGACGGGCGGGGGCGGCTAGCACGGCGGTGGGCGGCGGCCGTGGGTAAAGGCAGGCACTACGGTTCAACGACTGCCCCCTGGCTTATCTCCTGCCGCGGCGCGCATCAGATTGGCCACTGCGGTAGTGGTTGGTGGCGGCCAGCGTCGGTTTGGGGGGGGGGAGAAGGGGACAGGGGGAAAGGGAGAGGGCAACGGCAGGGCGGCTGCGACGCGGTCCAGCGGCCGTGCGCGGCGCATCGCCCCACCAGCGGTTCGCCCGCACCCCGCCCTGCTCGCCTCACCCGCCCCTCCGCGCGCACCTCCGCCTCAGGACGACGTGCATTCCAGGAACAGCCAGGCACGCGGCGCCCGGCGAAAAGCCCAGGCGCGGCGCGGCGCCGGCGCACAAAGCACTGGCCGGACCCGGGAGAAGGGGGGTTGCATGGCGCCCCTGGCCCCCTCCTCCCAGAGACTTAAGAGAAATAAAAAATTAAAATGGGGAAAGTCGCAGGTAAAGTCAAAAATAAATGCTATGTGTTACGTGTAAACTCTGTAATAAATATTCAATTAATGTATAATACTACATTTAATTCCTTTACTATTATTTCATGGATTGTATTTAGTGTCGTGTGCTTACATTAAGTTCTACATTTAAATAAATTTTCATTTGTTATCTTCCTTTATTTGACAAAACTGATTTAAATATATGTCACAATTATGTAATTATTTAAAAAAATATAATATTGTATAGTATCCTAAATACACAATAAACCTAATATATAATAACTACAATGTTTACTATTTACGACAAATCTATGATCCCCCGCGCTACACAAGTAATCGGCTGGATCCGCCCCTGCACAGAAGTAGCCTACAGATCAAAGGACACCATTCTCTAAATTCAGAAACAAAATCATAGCCGCAGGCCGTTAAGAGCAGACCAATAAGTCTCCAGTTTAGAGGTCAAGTAGACGCTTGAGTAAACGGACTTTACAAAGATTCGTTTTCAAAATATCTTTTCAGGGATAAAAAATAGAATTACAAATTAGGTATTAAATTTACATATATAAATATTATATATTTAATATATAATATATAAATTATATATTTTTACACATATATGTAATATATTAATATATATTACACATATTTTATTCCAATGAATCGATCGCAAAACTCGTAAAACTTCTGAGCATCCGTACCGTTTTTAAATCCTACTGTGAGTTACCAAAAGACATCAGAACACAAATAAGAACTTGTTGTTTCTTAATCTCACATTTGTGTATTGCCTTTCAACATACATACATTTCTTCTCAATTTATACACTTGCAAGTTCAGTAAACACATATTTGCCGTTTACCAGAGTATAGAAATAATTGGTATCCCATTGCAATTTAAATTGCTAAGATTTTTTTCCTGCTTCAACACGTTCATTGCTTCATTACACTGGTCTACAAAACAATTACAGTCGTGCATTTCCTTAACAAAAATAGTCAAAGCTTATGAATTGGGATAGAGGAACAAGAATAAGACATCCAAAACATTTCCTTAGCTCTTCGTTTCAAAATATTTACGTGTTGTTATTATTATTAGTATTATTATTATACCTATTATTATTATTATACCTATTATTATTATTATTATTATTATTATTATTGGCGTATCGGACATTTCTGACTACACCACACATTCTCCTCTGAGAGTTAGTCATATTTTATCCTGGAGAGAGATTAGGCATGTAATTATGGGGATCAGCTTTTCGACTGTATCCCTTGTTGGCTCCTGAATTATGAACTATGAGGTGATAGGATGATGCCGATGATGATGATGAAGATGAGAGATGATCGTGGCATTTATTATTATTATTATTATTATTATTATTATTATTATTATTAACACATGTATGTATGAAACTCATTCTTTAAAAATGCTACCTTTAACTATTCACAGGGTCATTTGTTTTCGTTTGTTCTCTATATCTCTAATAATATTCCAACAATTCTATAAGAATAGATGATTTCTATTTGCTGATATCCTCTCTCTGATTCTTTGATATCTTCTTTCCTTCGCTGAAATGATTTGATGGAATCGCACTCTGTGTTCGTCTCTAAAAGCGACACAACTGTTACGAAAATATCGATATGAGAGTGGAGGAAGTCTTCAGCAACACATTACAACCTAACTCTTGGTACGTCCTCAGAAGTTCATCAAGTGTGATTTTTAGATCTTCGATTTTCCAAGAAAATTGTGAACAACTGTTCTGAAGGGTATCCAAGCTCTTTTCTCTTTCCTTTTAACGACTTACAGGTTTTAGTAGTAACGCCTTACGTTGTTCTTGAAATTGCGGACCAACGAGAATTCCATCTTTTATCTTAGAATCGCTGAGAAGTGGGAATTTTGTATTTAAATACTTGAAGGCTTCTTCATATTGAATCATCTCTTCCACTGTCTTCTTTATCAGACCTACCTTAAAGCGCAAAGGTGGAAATGAGATCTTGGACAAGTTTGTTTTTTTGAGGGTCAGACTATTAAATCACTATACGCTACAATGTTCTGTAAACAAGTGAAAATGAAAATAAATAAAAGTTGTGTTTGTTATATACATTTCATATTTACCTCGCAAGAATAAATTTTCTTAGAACCTCAAATTCAGCAATGTACTGAGATATAATGGCGTACAGGTTTCCATATGCACAATAAAGGACGTTTATGTACTCTAGGAGCAAATAAAGTGTGTGTATTGTTGAAAACCTACATCTGTAATAAAATAACAAAAATTACCAACATAACAAAATTTTCTATCGTAAAATGAAATCCTATTTCAAGAGAACGAGAGCTAACTAAACGCATTAAACATCATATTCGTTTATTTCACATCAAAATTAATATGAACAATCCATGTTGAATTCGGAAAGATTTTGTGGGATTCGGAAAGAATCTAGCTTCGTGTCAATGAGTAAATCACTATTAACATCATCAAATGGCTGACATACGAAAAATATAATTAACATAACCTCTCTCTCACACAGTCATCTCAGACTGTCAGTCAAAGTCGCACGGAAGTAAGCAAACAGCCGATTACGTGAGTCAGCTCAGCAATAAAATAAGCTCAGCAGAACAACTACAGCGTTCCACTACAACGCCAATCTCAGCGCGACATTGCGATATACAGAAAATTTCTCCGCGAGCTACCAGAACCTTGCGATTTCTTACCCAAATACTACTTAGAAATAACAAATATTGTGCATGTACGCCTAAAACCACTTGAGAAAGATGAGAATTGATTGTCGAAATACTGTGCCAATGAAATGTGCTATTGCACCTACGCCAACTTTTCAACCCGCCAACCTTTTCGCACGACTCACGAGCTTATTTCCTTCACACCGTTAGCACACCAAACGATTTGTTTTTAAAATAAATCTCCACCTCCCCCGTTGTAAGCCGCTATTGGAACTCGACGTTGCTTCGCAATAATGGTAAAAGATTTAATAAAATATTGTAATGGCATTACTTGAAGATTTTATTTTGTAAAATAAATTTCTGACTCATTTTCGGAAAATTTCATAAATATTTTGGGGCCTCATGTAATGAATTCTCCAAAATTATAAGATCCATTTCAAAATTCGAGGGGCCACGGTACCAACTAAATCGATTGAATATTGTCCATTGTACTGAAAATCCGGTCCATGATTTAAACGAAAGCGCGACTCACAAACAGGCTGACGGTTTTAAAAGCTAGTGGTGTAACAACGTACATTGATATTTTATATATTTATCAACAGTTACGAAATGTTATAATATTGAAAACTAACCAACTAACGCTTCAGCCACCCTTTGAAACAAAGTCTAACTAAAGGAAACGGTTGAGTAAAATATACATATATTTAATATCACTAGTTCTGAGATTTTTATGATTGTGCATCTTTTTTCTCGTTCTTCAGAAACACTTGTAGTTTGATAATAACTTATTTTACCATATTTTGAGATTTTGATATTTACTTGATAGGGCATTTTTGTCCTTTTGAAATGGACATTTTTGTATTTTAGAACACTATTTGTCATTTTTTTAAAACATATTCGTTGTGTTACTACACACATGCTCTTTCTTTTTAAAAAGTCTTCGCAGTCGCAAAACTAACCATTATCACCAAACAACGTAGAGTTCCGATACAGACTGCCAACGGATGAGGTTGAAGGTTTGATAGTGTATTGAACGATATGTTAACTTGGAGTAAACTTTAAATTGGAAAACAAATACATTTCCAGAAAATCTCTTCAAATTGTGGGATTGAAGAAAACGAAACTGCTGATAAATACGCCCCCCGCCAAAAAAAACAGAACAAAATTAATAATAATAATGATAATAATAATAATAATAATAATAATAATAATAATAATAATAATAATAGCAGTAGCAACATGTAAATGCTAACTACACGCCCACAGTAGGCACTGAATGTATAATACACACAAGAAGTGAAGCTCTTTGCTTATATGAAATCTAGGTATTCACATCAACACCCGCAGAAATCTGCTGATTCTTTCGTAACCTGGCCAGTCTATTTAAATTGCCTACGATTCACATTGGAAAACTTATGTTCTAATGTGTCCGAAGAAAAGCGCATTCCTGTAAGTGCATGCCAGTGAGGGAGAAGTGATACTTTTATGAATGGGACCTACATCATGCTACATTATTCATCTTGTTTTAAGCAGCTCCAAAGTTCCAGAGAAAAAATCCAATGGTGTTAAATCAAAAGGCCCCGCAGGTTAATTAACGGTACGGCGTGCGTATGAGACGGCGTGCGTATGAGATGGCGTGCATGAAACGGCGTGCATGAAACGGCGTGCATGAAACGGCGTGCATGAAACGGCGTGCATGAAACGGAAGTGCCGAAACGTAAGGTGAGAATCGGTCGTCTTGTGTGTGGCTGTGAACCCGTTCTATCCAAACTTAATTTCATGATTTTTGGATTGTTTTACATTTTTCGGCAGATCTTCGGACCAGCGCTCTTCGGAGAAATGTTAGCTGATGCTAAAAAATGCAGAGGCTTTGAAATGTTATACAAAAACATTAACATCTTACGGCTTTGTATTTCTTCCTAATCTGCCACATCTGTGCGTTAATTTTTCCTTGGTACCTGTGAAAGGGTATTTGAAGGGATTGCTACGAACCCTCGACCTCGGAGCGACGCATGCGAGAGCAGAGCGACATTCGATTGATTGATTGGTGATTCCGGGCATGTCAACTGCTAAGGTCATTATTTCCGTAAGGGTAGTGTATGTTTCCCTCGGGAGGCGGCGGTGGTCTTCCCCGCTATGGTGAGATCCGGTGCCGACCTACAACAAGCTGGCGGTGTTTTCCCCAACTAGGTATCTCCCATCGGGGGCATCGCCCCAGCCGGGACAAGCTGTCCCCCAGCTGTCTCCAGGCATGGTAGTAGTGTAGTGCGTGTTTGTGTAAGTACGGGGTAAGAATAGGACTAGGAAGAGGAAGGAAAGATCGCGCGCGGTCCGTAACTAGTTTGTTAGGATTCTGCTCCGGAATTGGCCTAATGTTATTCGGAGAAACCACAGGAAATTACCGATCAAAGCAGCCGGCCGCTAGAATTCTCCTCCAGACAGTGACAGAACTCGACCTAGCTATCTAGGTGGTCTACCTCACAGTCACAGGCACAGCAGATATATCAATTTGTGCCCTGAGAAACCTCTCGCAATCAATATTTGAAGTTGAAAGCATTTAGAAATAAAGACCAGAGAACTTTCGGTTAAAAGGAACTTGTACTAAGAAATAGTTATCTATATCTTCTTAACGAGGTTTTTTAAAACAGTGCAAGGTCAAAATACATAGACATAAATTGGACACACATTTTAAGATTGTTATTGTTACGGCAAATAAGCGTTCATTCCGTTAATTGGGAACCTCGGTGGGTGAGGAGTTAGCTTTCCCCCAGTGATCCCCGCGTGCCTGGGTTCGATCCAGGCCGAGGTGCCAGAATTTTCGAATGGCGAAAAATTCACAGTAGCCATGTCACACTTTTGGCATCTTACTGCACCCTGGCGGTATGCCCAGCAAAATTAAATCCCTCCGACCACATCCCACCCTAACGAGATCTCACTTTCCCCCAACCAGACAGCTCGGATGTAGTTAACTGAGACCGACATTTGGCAAAGGAAGTGAGAGTAAAATCCTGGCGCCTTTAGGGGATCGCCCGCGAGGTGCACCTGCTCGATAAAGGTCCCCAGACCCGCGTTCGGGGTAGGTTTCCAAGCATGCCTGGGTCGAAAAACTCGGGTGCGGAACAACTGCCTAAAGGTAGTCTGCCCGTAAAATTACGATAAATAAAAAAATTAAATTTTATGATTTTATTTGTATTTTGTGTTCATTCTATGAAAGAGGATAATAGCAAGCGTTAAAACATCTGAGGCCAACTATCGTTCATTTAAAACAAAAATCGCAATTTGTCTGACTTGAAACCTCATTTTTTTCCTTCTTCGTCATTTTCCTTTGAGGACCTTGCCGTTTTCACCTTACACAACTCCCAATCTCTGGTTTGAGGTCTCTTCCCTCCATAGTTTACTGGATGCATTTTTACCACTCTAAAACTGATCTTCCTCTTTTTCTCTTCAGGTGGTTGCTACTTGATCTTGAGTCTGTTTGACGACATATTTTGAAGATTTTCATTCCATTGTAGTGCTCTATTTTCTAAGGTCTTCTTAATACAACAAATTATATTCATCCTTCTCCACATTTCATCATTTGACACTGTCACTGCGAGTAAGTCGTAGGCATCGTCTCATGTACTCCATTTCAACTGTCCTAATCTTATCTCATATTTTGTGTTTGTGTCCACACTTCCGCTCCGTATAATACTATATTTTCTACTACGTTGTGGAATTCTTTTGACATCTTTCTTGGCTGTTATTGTTATTCCATAATATACCGTGTAAAGCTTTGGTTGCTTTCTTCCCCATAATTACTCCCGAGTTTACATCTGTCTTTCATGTTGTTTATTAAAGAGCCAAGATATTTGAAGGTGTTACAGCTTTTAATTTTGTTGCAATCCAAGACTATATCGGTTATCGCTTATCCAATATCCACGCTATATCCATCGCACATACATTTGTTTTTATTTAAAAAAACATTCCCCATTTATTACATTCTTCTATTAGCGTTCTTAGCTTATACTCCATGACGTCTTCATCTTGGGCAAAGATACCGAGTCGTTTAAAATAGAAGGGATTGAAAGGTGTCATCTCCAATTTTTATTCACTCGTCTGAACATTTCCTATACCAGGTATGTAGGGCTTGTTCTAGGTAGATATTGCTCAAATTTCTTTCTCAACAAAAACCCTTAGTCTTTTAAATATTAAGATTTTTGAAATTTTCTAAATCTCAGAGATTTTAATGAAAATCGGAATGATACCACACTTCTAAACACAGTTTCTTCTCTTCATACAAAAAATATCAAGCAGAAATTGTCATTCAGTTTTCAGAATGTCTTAGGGGCTTCATGAAAAGAACCTATTTTGGAAAAACAAGATTTGGAACCGTTTCTGAAAAAATATTTGCCGCAGTACTTTATTTATTTTACAGTTGCCATTATCATATGATACACCCGCATCGAAAACGTCTAATTTCAGTGTTTTAATCCCTAAAAATATTCATTGTAAATCTTGTTCAAATTATGTTTTTAATCTACACCTTGGTCTTTTGAGTTCTGCCAAGCAAACACCTCTCGCAGTACATCGAAATCGAC